CCACTTCGTTCTCGGACGGCCAATGGTGCTGGAGCCTCCTGGACGCAGATGGGAGGAGATAGGATGATGCGGGAGGACTCGGAAGGACTCGTAGACTCCAGCGGCTTTCCTTTGTCCATGAGGATTCATTTCCACCCCCTATGTAAAACAAGTGCTGTCTGTGGGATCCACAGGCGCTCCATTGTGTCATAAGGATTCTTTCTCAAATTCTATATGCAACAGTGGTGCTGTGTTGCACACGGTTGCTGTGGTGCACACAGGCGCCGTGGTGCACACAGGCGCTGTAGTGCACGCAGGCATTGTGGTGTACATTGATGCTGTGCTGCGCACGGCTGATGTGGTGTACGCAGGCGCTGTGGTGCAAGCAGCCAATGTGGTGTACACAGGCGCTGTGGTGCAGATCGCAACCTACATGCTGCTGCTACACATGCTCGGCCATTCCGAAGCATTCCCAAACGCCGCCAGCGCGAAACGTGACGTCACCCCTCCCCCCAAAGATGACGGCCGTCATCGGCCCGGAATGAAAAAACAGGCTCCAGCCGCGTCCGCGCGAACGACGACGATGAGCGACGAGCGACAAGCGACGAGCGACGAGGGACGACGACGACGATGCCGCCGCCGCCGCCGACGACGACGACGACGACGACTGCGGACCAGACCCCGATGCGGGATCCTATGCGGACGCCGATACGGATCCCGATGCGCACGTCGACTGCCCGGGGCGCACTGGGGGGGGGGACTAAACAATAGATAAACACGCTCCAGGTCCCGGGGGGACTGCTTCCTCGCCGCGCGCCGTCTCCGTCGCGGACATGGGTGGGGGCGAGAGGAGCAGGAGGACGAGAAGGGGGGGCAACAGTGGCAGGAGGGAGGGAAGAAAATATCCTCCCCTCCTGCACCCGGGCGCGCGCCGGCGTGGGTTAAGGATTCGTGGATCTGGCGCGTGGGCGCCAGATCCACGGATGGGCCATCGCTCGGACGTCCATTTCCCGTGCATTTTTTGATTTCGTGCGTGTTTTTGTTGGCTCGATGGTCCAGGATGGTCCTCGGTGGTTCTCGCCGGAAAAAAATGCACACGTCCGAGCGATGCCAGGGGGAAGGCACTCCCGAAACAGGAGGCCAGTGCCGCGTGTTTTCGCGATGGGGCGCACCGACTCTGCGGGGAAAGGGGACCCATCTGAAGGGGCCCTGGGACACACACACACACACACACACACACACACACACACACACACACACACACACACACACACACACACACACACACACACACACAAATACATACAAATAAACAGATTCCCCATATTTTCTTATATTTTCTGGGTTTTGGTCTTCCCCCCCCACTTCCCATATTTTCCCCTATTTTCTGGGGAATCGCCGATTCATGGTGTCTGTGTGTTTCTTTTCCCCCTGACCATCGCTAATCCACGCCTTTGCATCCATGCTCGCGCTGCCGCGATGCGAGAGCAGCTGCGAACAACGGCAGGCACCAGCAGCCAGCACAGCTCTGCAGCGGCGGGACGCGCATGCCACGGAACGCCCTTTGGGTGTGCTCTGCCTATCCGGCATCTGATGTCGCACATGGCCCAACCCCGCAGCTGGTGTGTTCCCGTCCTCCCCCGCCTCCTCCTTCTCCCCCTCCTCCTTCCTGTGCTGATGGCTGTGGCTATTTGTGACCTCCTTCCTCCTGTTCCTCCTCCTCCTCCTTTTCTTTTTCCTCTTCCCCCTGCTCCTCCTCCTGTTCTTCTCCTCCCCCTCCTCCTCCTCTTCCTCCTCCTCGAGGTGGCCAGCGGCGTGCGAAGGGGTGACGGGGGGGGGGGCTTCCCGAAAGACATCGCCCACTTCTCAGACGCCTCTGCTACAGGCATCACTTGCAGTAAGGATGCGCGACAAGGATGCAAGCTCCTCGCACGCCCAGGGCGAGGCTCTTCGAGCGGGGCTGGCCATCGAGAGTGGTTACGGATGGACCGGCAAGGCAAGGATGCAAGAAGGGGCACCACCTGGGGAAGGCGACCCATCCCCATCATCGGTTTCGAGAAGGTTTCCGAGGAAGAAGGCTTCCGAGGAGGCAGGAGGCAGGAGGCTTTCGAGGTGGTTGATGCGACGCGCGGCTTCGCTGTGCGCGTGCTCGAACAGTGCAGCTAACCATGTGGACGGCGCTTAGGACCGCAGTCCGCCACTTTCGCCACCACACGACTGTGGGAACAAAAACACACACTGTGGGGAAAACACACACACACTGTTGGAAAAAAACACACACACACACACACACACACACACGCACACAAAAACACACACACAAAACACACACCGTGGGAAACAAACAGGCTGCGTGTGTGTTTTCCCCACACTGTGTGCTGTTTGTGTGCGTTTTTTTCCTACAGTGTGTGTGTGTGTGGGGCAGGAGGAGGAGGAGGAGGAGGAGGAGGAGGAGGAGGGGGGACGAAAGACGGCGGCGTCAACGACGTCGGAGGAGCGGGAGGCGAGAAGGGAGGTGGAGGGCGAAAATGGCCAATGCCAAAATGGGCAGCCGCCTCGTCCTCTACCGCTGCGTCCACAGCGGCAATCTGGGACGATATGCATTGTTGTTTGTCCTCTGCGTCAACGGAGGGCTCATGTTCCCCATGGAGGTCAGACGCTAGCTCTGATTGAAACCTATGCCACTCAGGATCTACTCCGCGCTTGCCCCGACTGGGGCGGGGACCAACATCCGAGGGAATCGTAAAACGGCTGTCGTCCTCGCTGGTCCGCGGGACATGAAAAATCCAACAAAGCCTAAAGCACGGCTGGCTGTTCTGACTCGACAACGTAGTCAGCGACGTCCGGCGACGCAAACCGGGGCACCGAAACACAAATCGACCGAGCGAGAGCCTCACAGAGGCCAATCGGGCACACGTTCTTACCAGCCGTGCGAAACTTCTGCTCCCCTTGGCGTGTGCCGAGCAGGGTATCGTGAGAGCCTCTGTCATGACTGCATCGTCCACCTCCTGGAGTACTGCGGAGATGGCTGGGTTGATGTGGCATGCGGACCCCCAGAATTCTGGTTGGAGCCCGTCCTATGGTAGCATAATCTGTCCCTGCTGGCCAATGTTCGCACTGGTCGATGTCAGTGACCGTGGCAAGCGGGGAGGAGGCGAGAGCAATGAGAGGGCGCCAGCGAATAGAGGTGGGAGCAGAAGGAATCCAGGTGGCAGGGACTGGGTGTTCTAGCCACCCGGACGTCCCCACTCGAAGATGTTCAGCCAGTATAAATACGATGGCATGGAGCAACTGCGAGCCTACCTCCAACTGTTGAGCCTGACGCCTGGAGCAACGCGGCACACCAAGCATGTTGCTTCGCGCGAAGCGGGGGGGGGGGGGGGGCCATTCGTGCCAACGCGCCGCAGACCAAGTCTCGAAGGGCCCCCCCGTGTGAAATGCGCGCCTAGAGCGGACGTGGTCAGCCCATGTGTCCACAGCTTCCTGGCGAGTGAGGTCGCCTCTGGCGGAGCCAATGGCAATGTCAATGGACAGGCAATACAAGGAAAATATTGGATCTGTTGCCTCCCGTTCCAGGTTCCACTGGATATCTCCCGCGCGCCGCATGCCCGAGAAAAGATTCCGCGCGGAGATTCCAGGTCGCTTGATGCGAGCTGGGATGGGCGAGGCAGCCTCTCGCTCATAATCCCGGGGCCGAAGAAGCCAAGAACGGCCCTCGAAATCCAGCGGGCCCGAACCAGGCTGAGGCCCCATGCGGGGGCCCACTAGGACCTCGTGAAAATTTGCGGAGGCCGCAGGACTGAAAACGTAGTCAGACTCGATCAAGACCTGCCGGCCTCACTCTCGCTCAGACGGTCCACGATCTGGGTCTCGGACTCCGACTTGGGGCGAGCGGGGGAAGCGCGATGCGCAGGGAAGGCGGGCCTCCACCTGCCGAGCCCTGCTTCGCGCTGACTGGCGCGCCCAGCTGGCGCGGCTGCATTGGGGCGTTCAAATATCTGCTGCTTCCTCTCTGCTGCCTCCTGGTCGTGACTGCTGTCTTGAGTGTGCGCAATGCAGGAAATGGCGCATCGCGGCAAGTCCACCGCCGAATGCTCAACGAGGAAGGCACGACTTGCAAAGCGCATGCTGCAATGCTCGCGCGCCGCGGTGCCCCCAAGGATGCTACGAATAGCGCGCGCAAGCGATCTATGACTCCTGACAATGTGCTGCCGTAGCCCGCGGACCTGTTGGAAAGCAAAGCCACGCCGCATGCACTTGCATGGCTGGGCGTGCATCCTGCTGCCGAAGTGGACGGGCCAGGTCCACGATGGCCTTGGGGGCGCCCGCAGCATGCAGCACAAGGAATGCGCTGTCTTCAGCAGCCTTTGCAAGTGAAACCCGACGCTCGTAATGCGCCCGTGTGCGCACTCCTTCGGCAGTTGTGGATTTTCAAGATGCCCTGAGACCCCGAACAACAACTTCCCCAGGTCGAAGCTCGTGGCACGGATCAAGGAGGCGCTGGGTTTTTGGCTCCGAAGTCAAGCAAGATCCTGAACAATCTGAGTCATCCATGACTCCTCAGCCTCGCGAAATAAAACACCCAGGAGCCCAAGTAGATGCACGGGCCCATTGTACAGGAGGCGGCCGAATAGGTGAAGCCTGTGCGCGCATGTATATGTCGACGCTGGCTTTGGAAACTTGCGCAAGAATGTAACTGTTACGCGAAGCGGTGGCATCGGTCCTGGGCGCTCGAAATGCGGCACGGTACATGCGAAAAAGAGCGCCATTTAGACTTGCCAGCTGCGCCGAAAAGAGCGGAGGCCACGTACTGGAGTTATACAGCCTACCTGAAATAAGCAATGAGTCCACCAAGACAATCCCAATGGGCACGCTGAGATCTGGCCCCCTGAGAACCTTCTGAAGTGTCTTCCAAGAACCAGAACAACTCTGGGCTCTGTGAGCAAACTCGGGGGCAATGCTGCAAGTTTCGTCTAACATCGTCCCCGCATGCGTGCATTGATGAACCGCGCGTCGGGCAAACTGGCCGTAACCCGAACTATTGATGACCGAGAGGCCATCCGCATCTCTCCATGAGACGAGCTTGGCCTTGCCCGAACCCACTCCACGGAACTGGAAGAGCGCGGCCGACGTACCCTGGCCAGAATGTAGTCGCATGCCTCGCTCGGCACAAGAGTCAAAGATGGTGCTGATCAGCACCGGCGCGATAGTGAGTAGTGTCTGGGCTCGACCCATGAACGCGAACAGCGAATCATCGACGGAGACCATATCTAGGGAGTGCTCAGCGCACGCTGCTTCTGGATCGCAGCTCGACACCAGACTCCAAGATGCTACGCCGGACCAACTCCACGATGGATCCCATCGCGAACTTGAGCATAAGACCCCCAAACTGTCGTCCAGGACCCGAGCCAATGACAGGAAAAGCCACGCGTGAGCCCCCAGGGACCACGAACCAGCTTCGACGGTAGGCGTCAGCCACATGAGCATGCAACCTGGGAGGGAGGCCAAGAGACTCAAAGAGGGGCCCCTCGTGATGCACGTGCTCTGCGAGGTCCTCGGCAGCGTTGGCAGGGAGCCCCACCGCGCGGAGGATGTGGGCGATAGCGCCCGCTGGTTCAGAACAGCGCGCGCGACAGATCAGCTCGCGCAAACTGTTGCAAAAAAAAAAACCTGAACAGCATCCAGCGGTAAAAAAACAGAGTATACATTTCGCGCGCTGCAGCGAGCTGCTGAAATGCGCGAAGTTCGAGCGCCGCATAGTCTGCCCCCGGTACCCCGAATACCGCCGCACTGTCCAGGTCCAGCATGCGGAGAACGAATCGGAGCGACCTGAGATCTTAGCAGAGCCCGAGACCTCTTACCAAGCTGAGAAGATCCTGATATAGACCTGTAGCAATTCCTGTCCCCGGGGTCCCACCGCTTGACCTAAGTCCAATAATATCCCTTTTTCCATTGAATAAGTTCACTCGTACGCGAGAAAACCGGGTAATTAAAGGATGTAGTATCTGATCTATGGGCTTAAAGATTTGGCGGCCATGCGCCCAAGAAGCCATCTCTTCCAGCTGCGGCATTCCGCGAAAGCTTGCACGATCGCTCATCTTATGCAATGCTGGGGATATCTTCGATAACGCAATCCAAATCCTAAAAATCGCGATCTGGCAAAGCAGGCGCGTGATCATCCAACTAACGCAAGCCGTGTGCGGACACTACAGTACTGGCCACAATAGAAGCAAAGTAACGGGTCCAAGTGCGCACTGCCTCTTGAACAAAGCCGCGAAGAATAGGCAGGGGGTTCGCGCGGATCTTCTTGTGCAAGCACGCTCTGATACGCTTTGACCTGGAAAAAGCGTGCGCGTGGTCGCGCACAGACTAGGCAACGCTGATGCTCTGCGTGATGTGAGTATAGTGCGTGCCGGTGTCCACGCGCACCTGCAAATTGACATAACGCGCGGTAGCTGTCAGACTACACTGTCTATGAATAAAAATAATATCTGCTACGCGTCGAGGACGTACTAGCCAGCCAGACACCTCACGACGACTCCGAAGGCCTGAAGGAATCCCAAGCTTTCGAAGAGGCAGTTGGGCCTCCGAGAGGCGGGGGGCGCCCTCCGAGAAGGCCGCCCCTGACCGCGGCCTGCCCCGCGCCAGACTCCGCGCGGCAGCGGTCCCAGGAGCCCTCCCACGGCCGTGGATAATCTCTCTCTCTCTCTCTCTCTCTGCGGTTGCGTTGCTCCCGTCGTGCTTGAAGACCACATCCCAAGAATGATTTCGAGCGCCCGGAGAAGGATAGAGACCGTGTCGAACGATTGTCGCTGGCCAGGGACCGACACGTGAAAACCCTCCTGTTTCGGTGCTTTCTTTCGGGCGTTGCTAGAAGTGCCCCTGGCCCAAGGTACCCCCAGGATTCTCGGGGTGGCCCAGGCAGCCTCGAAGGCACCCCTCACGAGGCCCAGAGGACCCCAGGGGCTCCAAAATTGAGCGAAAAGCTGGGGGCACATTGGGCCAGGGGCACTTCAAGCAACGCCCGATTCTTGGTGCTGGAAGTTCCTTCTGGTGGTCAAGGCTGCTAAAGCAGGCTGGAACATCATAACCCTGTGGGCCTCTCCAGTGGTCAGTGGTCTCCCTGGGCGCCTCGGCTCTTCCATCCGGTCCGAGCCCTAAGCGCGCCGCCGCGCGGAGCCCCGACAGGTCGTGCGGTCTGGCGGGGGATCAGGGAAAGGATGCCCGGCGCTGTCCGGCGAGGGAGGGAAAAACGACGCGCGCGCAGAGCGAGCGGTCAAGCGCCTCGGCGGTGCCGTGCCCAGCTCAGGCGCGTGCACCTAACTAGGAGTGGAAGAGGAGGAACCGCCACACACGACACGCACAGGGGAGTGCAGGACTGCGCGTGTGGCGGGCAGCTGCCTCCGCGAGCGCCATTGGCAGCACATCGCATGACGGGGCGGTGCCACCCGGGACCCAGGCAGTACGGCTCGCCCCCGTAGCGGGAATCTGAAAAATTGCCAGCCTGACGACAGGGAGGGGAAAGCGGTGAAACACACCCTAAGATCCTGGAGACTCAAACTTTTCGAGTTGGGCGTTTCCGCTCCATCAATTTCGGGCCCCGGGACCCTCACCAGTCCATCCGGCTCGAAAAATAACGCCGGGGCCGTGATTTTTTAACGATCTTGCAATTTCTGGGGGATCTCAGGGCAGGCAGACGAGGACGAACGCGCAGGCGGGAAGCCGGGGCCAGCGGGGCGGGCGTGCAGGCGGGCCTTGCGAAGGCAGCAGGCAAACAGCAGGAGGAGGGAGACGAGGACGGAGGGAGGGGAGAGCACACCGAAGGTTGCTCTTGGCTGGCTGGAGGCATCCCGACCAGCTTGCCGAGCTGCGTGCAGCCGTGGCTACAAGGGCCTTCCGAAGAAGAAGAAGAAGAGGAAACCACATAAACAAGATTTTGGCGCTCCGCGCGGATTTCTTGGATTTCCGCCTGGGCCCCCCGGCGGCGCCTCCAGCGCCGCCCCTGGCGCGCAGGGAGGTCCAGCGCGAATTCAAGAAATCTGCGCGAAAAGCCACAAGATTATGATTGTGCATTTTTTTCTAATTCGATTCCAGGAGGCCCAGGGCAAGAAACACCTCCACATCCTGCATGTCGAGCTCACCGCGCGCGCGGGGAGAGCTTGAAGTGCTCTCCCCCGTCCCCCCCGCCCCCCGTTCTCTGCGTTCCGCCGGGGCGGCGCGGCATCCTGCCCCTGCCGCGCGCCAGGGCCCGCGCGGAGGAACAGCCGCGCGTACTTCCGGCAGTCGCGCGCCGTCGGCAGCGCCCTGCGCGGGAGGGGAGCTCGCTCGAAGGCCGCCGGCTGCCGATGCGTCGCGCCGCGCCGGGAGACGGGGCTTCGGGATCTCACCGCATCGGCGCCGCGTCGGCGCAGACCGGCTGCAGACCACACCGCACTGCCGAGGGGGCCCCAGTTGCTCTGGCCCCATGTGGGAGGCCTGGAGTTCCTCCCACTCCCACTCCCCCACCCCTCCCTTCCTCTTTTTCTCCTTAATTATTCCCTGATTCTTATTATTATCATTATTATTCGCATTCGTATTATACTTTTGCATCGTTATCAATAATAATATTATTAGATTCCTCCTTGGCTGTCCCTGAACCCGAGACGCGAAGGAGAGCAGCAGCGTTCGATACCTAAGCCGTTGTTCACTTGTTCACTTCGTCTACTTAACATGGCCCCACTCGCCTACGGCTGGTGAACCAACAAAAACACACAGACACACACACACACACACGCGCGCATGCGATAGAATGGACATTTGTGTTGCATACTCCGACCTCGCACGGCGTTGCGCACACGTTCACGCAATGCGTGGCTACATGACAGATCATGGCCAGGGTGTTCCTACGATGTCCCTGCTGCTCAAACCCGGTTCGTGACTCGACTGCCTACTCGAATGGTATGCGTTACTTAGCTCGCCATCGAGCCTGCACTCGGTCCTTTCACGATCACCGTTACCTGAACGATGCTGGCCCGTTGTCATCATCGATGGAGGATTGCTGAAAATTCATTTGGCGTTCACGCATAATACATCTGCATGCTGTAGCATTCAACGACCGACCGCCAATTCGCCGGCCCTACGCGCCAGAGGCGTGCTAAAATCTCTGGTAAGAGTTTCGGAATGTTTCCTAGTTCGCGCGCGCGTGGCGGCCCCTGGGGGCTCCTGGACGAAGAGTACCCTGGCCAAGTCCCGGCAAGCCTGCATCAGAGATGCCGGAACCCCTGGGCACGGCCCTGGGGGCCCCTGGAGCGACCCAGGAGCGCTCCAAGGAAACGCCGAATAGGTGGCAGGCCCCACGGCAGCAGGCCGAGAGCGTTCCAGAATGGCCCAAGTTGGTCTCAACACGGCCCGAGAGGCGCCCAAAACGCCCCAGGAGGGCTCCAAGAGCACTGCAAGAGGGCCCGAAAAGCAACATCCGTGGATTTGGTCATGGTTTTTGAAAGAGTTTGGCGTTACCTCCTTGTTCAGCTTCCTACGGCCCAGGACGGCCCCAGAGACCTCCAAGATCGCCCCGAGAGGCTCCCAGGACGGCCCCAAAACGGCCCAAGAGGGCCACCAGACGGCCCAAGAGGCCTCCCCAGAGGGCCCAAGAGGCCTCCCCAGAGGGCTCCAGAGGCTCCCATGAGGGCCACAAGAGGGGAAACCCAGACAGACATATCGAGCCTTCCCCGAAAGTTGGCCCCCGAGACCAATAGCAGGCCCCCAAGAGCCCTTCAAGAGGCCCTCGGAAGCCCAAAGGATACCCCACGGGGCCCCCAAGAAGCCCCAGCAGGTCCCAAAAATGCTGCCAAGAGGCCCCCGAGAGGCTTCCCAACAGATCATAAGGGCCTTCCGAAGAGACGTGCTGTCCACGACCCACTTTGGTCCCCACTGCGCCACAAGAAGCCATCGAGAGGCCTCCTCATCCTTCTCCTCCTGCTCCTCCTCCTTCTCCTCCTCACCAATCGAGCCCCCTATTCTCATTCTCGCCCGTCGTGGGCCAGCGGAACGAGCGAAGCGATTCCATAACTGTAAGCGTCGGAACATCTGCAAACATCCGTGCCCGAAAAATGAACCCGGCGCGACCCCAGTTAGGGGAAAGCTTCCTACTGCATGGCGCAAGGCTTGGCATTGCTTGGCAGTGCTTGCACAAACCGAATACGAGGCACCGGGGGCCGGGAACCCGGGGAACCTGGGGAACCCGAGAAAACCGGGGAACAACCCGGCGAACCCGAGGAACCCGGGAAACCTGGGGATCCTGGGGAACCCGGGGAACCCGAGGAAACCGAGGGACCCAAGAAACCTCCGAGCAACGGGCAACGTAAGAATCGAAGGCACCGAGGGCGAGGAACCCGGGGAACCTGGCCAACCTCCGAGCAACGGGCAACGCAAGAGTCCGAGGCGCCCACCTTTCACCAAATGAGAGCCCTTCCGGCAAGCCTATAGCTGGAGAAGAAGGAGCAGTATGTAGCCGCTGCTCTGGTGAACTCGAGCTCCAGCAGGCAGGTGGCAGCCAGACTGCCCGCAGCCGCCGCGCCTTTGGCGGCGAGGCACCCTGCTCGCGCGTTGTGGGGCCAGCGCGGGGGCGGGGGGGTCACGCAGATTGCCAAGAGAGCGCGCCGCCGCCGAGAAGAGCCTCGGCCACCCCAGGGCGCCATTGAGGCCTGGCGGCAAAGGACCAGCAAGATTCCCCGAGTACGGCCCCACCCCCTTCTGTCTCTTTCTCACGCACTCCCCCCGAATCTAAGACGAAGGTAGCACTCGGGTAACATCGGGCGAGGACACATCGAGAATCTCTGAGATCTGGCGGTTCTGGAGGATGTATCGGGCGCCGCGGCCTTCTCAGAGCGTTCCGGAACGCTCTGAGAACGACTTTATCCTCCAGTGGAGGCGCGCAGCAAGAAACCAGCTGCTTTTCGTCGGGGTACCCTGGGTTTCTTCGCTCCGCGCGCTGCGCCGTGACTTCCCGCGGCCGTTGGCCTGGGATTCTACCCAGTCGCACCTCTCGCGCGGGTCTTCAGGGTTTGGTTTCTTGCGAGGGTTTCTTGCGGCCGCGTCCGCACTCTATCCCCCTCTTCATCTGGAGGCCTCCCAAACGGGGTCCGAGTATATGGGGTCGGAGGCTCACGCCGCATCGCCGATGCATCGGCGCCGTCGGTGTGGTGGGCAGATCGGGCTCCACATCGAGCCGCATCGCCGATGCATCGGCGATGCGGCGGGATCCTCCGACCCCATGTACCCACTCGGGCCCCATCTGAGAGGCCCAGATATCACCCCCCCTCCCCTTCCTCTCCCTTGGTCTCTCTTCTTTCCTCTCCCCCTTTCTCCTCGGGCACGGGCTGATTTCGCCGGGGCTGGTTTCGCTGGGGCTGGTTCCGCCGGGGCTGGTTCCGCCCGACGCTGGTTTCGTTGGCACTGGTTTCGCCCGGCGCTGGTTTCGCTGGCGATGGTTTCGCCCCGCGGGTTTCGCCCCGCTGGTTTCGCCGGGGCTGGTCTCGCAAAGTCCGCTGCCGCCGCCGTCGTTGTCGTCGTCGGGTCGGGCGGACGGGACATTAAAGTGTGGTGCATAATCGAGTGGGCACGCGAGAGCCCTAACGGTCGGGTCAAGACGAGTCGTGCGGGCCCTAACGGGCGGGTCGGGTCGGGACGGGCGGGCGGACCCTAACAGGCGGGTGGGGTCGGGCGGGCGGGACATCAAAGTGTGGTGCATTATCGAGAGAGCACGCGAGAACCCTAACGGTCGGGTCCGATCGGGTCGGGCGGACCCTAACGGGCGGGCGGGTCGGGTCGGGTCGGGACGGGCGGGCGGACCCTAACGGGCGGGTCGGGTCGGGCGGGCGGGACATCAAAGTGTGGTGCATAATCGAGAGAGCACGCGAGACGGTCGGGTCGGGACGGCTCGGGCGGACCCTAACGGGTCGGGTCGGGTCGGGGCGGGCGGACCCTAACGAGCGGGTCGGGTCGGGTCGGGTCCGGTAGCCCTATAACCTTCTTCCCTCCTCCCTCCGTCCTGCACTCCCTCAGCCACCTCCTGCACCACCTCCACCTCCACCCCCACCTCCCCCACCTCCCCCACCTCCCCCACCTCCCCCACCCTCCCCCACCTCCTCCCCCACCTCCCGCACCTCCCCCTCCCTCCTCCTCCTCCTTCTCCTCCTCCCCTCCTCCTCCTCCTCCTCCTCCTCCTCCTCCTCCTCCTCCTCCTCCTCCTCCTCCTCCTCCTCCTCCCCATCATCCTCGTCATTATTCTCCTCCTCGTCCCTCCTCCTCCTCCTCCTGCACCTCCTCCAGCAGCCAGGCGAAAGCAGCCGGGCGAAAGCAGCCGGGCGAAAGGAGCGTTGGGCGAAACCAGCGTCGGGCGAAACGAGCGTGGGGCGAAACCAGCGTCGGGCGAAACCAGCCCCGGGCGAAACCAGCGGCTGCCTCTCCTCGTCCTCCTGCGGCGGCCCGTCGCGCGGCGGCGGCCTGCCGCGCGGCGCGGGCCGTCGGCCGGCCGCGCCGCCCGCCAGCCTGGGCCGGGTGCGGCGGGGCTCGCTGTGGCTCGCGTGCGCCGTGGGCGGGGGCAGCCCGCCGGCGCGCGCACCAGCAGGCCAGCGGGGCAGACTTATCCGCGCTCCGGCGCCGCGCGGAGGCGCCACGCCCTGCACCCTTTGGAAAAAGTCGGAGGCCGCGAGAGACTTCGGGCGGCGCGGGGAGGGGCGCGAGGAGGCGCTGCCATGTTCGGAGGCCTTCTCGATAGAGGGTCCGAGCGGATGGGGTCGGGGGATCGCACCGCATCGCAGATGCATTGCCGATGCATCGGCGATGCATCGGTGCCGTCGGCATGGCGAAAATCGGGCTCCGCATCAAGCCGCTTCGCCGATGCATCGGCGATGCGGCGCGATCCGCTGACCCCATCTACTCGGACCCCATCTATCGAATAGGGGACCGACAACAGAAATGATGTACCCCAAACTTGATCTTCTCGTCGAGTCCAGGAGACATGCGACATCTTTCGTAGATTCGACGTGGAAGCGAATTCTGGGGTGAACCAATGTTCACGTCGATCCCCCACTCCAATCTAGGAGGCATAGAACCCAGACCCCCGACGTCATGATTTTTTCATGACGTCGACCCCCAGAGGTTTGCACCCATTCCCCAGGACCGGTTTTTCATCCTGAATCGTTTTTTGACGGTCCCGAGGCCCGGTAGGGCCACCCAAAAGCCACAAACATGGAAAAACCTCCCGCCGTGAGTTTTTCATGACTCGAGGGGGTCTGGGAATGCTGAAGCCCTCAGGAGCGCGGGCTGAGGGACCATGGGGGCTTTTTCTGGCCGCGCCGAGCCTCGGCCACGAGCCGCCCCCCTGGCCCACAGCGAGGGAACGCCCCGAGACCAGGGGCCCCTCGATGAGCCCAAAGTGGTCCTTGCTTCCACGACCCCCCCCCCCCCTACACACACGAGCGACGAGTTGATCAGAAAGCCCTATTCCTCCTCCTCCTCCTCCTCCTCCTCCTCCTCCTCCTCCTCCTCCTCCTCCTCTGTACCCTCATTACCCTCCCACGCAGTCCCCCTCCTTGTCATCATTTTGCATCTCCTCCTCATATGCCTCTGCGTCCTCCTCCTCCTCCTCCTCCTCCTTCCTCCTCCTCCTCCTCCTCCTCCTCCTCCTCCTCCTCCTCCATCTCCTCCTCCTCCTCCGCCTCCTCCTTCCTCCTCCTCCTCCTCCTCCTCCTCCCTCCTCCTCCTCCTCCTCCTCCTCCTCCTCCTCCGCCTCTTCCTCCTCCTCCTCATCATCCTCCTCCTCATCCTCCTCCTCCTGCCCCCCTCCTCCTCCTCCTCCTCCTCCTCCTCCTCCTCCTCCTCCTCCTCCTCCTCCTCCTCCTTCTTCTCCTCCTCCTCCTCCTCCTCCTCCTCCTCCTCACCTCCTCCTCCTCCCGCTGGGGAGTTGTTGGGGGAAACATCGGAAAGACAGGGCGAGGAGGGGTAACGGGAAGGACATGGGCGGCGGGTTAGGGGCGGCGGCGCCCATGCAAGTTATGATGCACGTCATCGACGACGGCCACGGCCACGGCCACGGCGACGACGACGGACGAAGAGAGGAGGAGGAGGAGGAGGAGGAGGAGGAGGAGGGAGGAGGAGCAGGAGGAGGAGGAGAAGGAGGAGGAGGAGGAGGGGGAGGAGGAGGGGGAGGAGGAGGAGGAGGAGGAGGAGGAGGAGGAGGAGGAGGAGGAGAACAACGACAACGTCGTCTGGACGACTCGAGGACCTCGGAGGTCGTCCTGGAGTCCATTGGTCGTGGGTAGATGGGGGGAGCCATAGATGGGGGGGTGAGTCGCATCGCGCAATCGGGCGCCGTCGGTCTCGCTGTGGCTACGGCGGAACGCAGGCACCCCGAGCTGCCCTCGGTCCTGCCCTGCCTGTTCCGCGCCGACCCGCTCCGCAAGCTCGCGCGTCCTGCGGCACAAAACCACACGCGCACCATTGCGAAACGATATTGCACGACCCCGCCACGAATCGCACTCCAAACCATCAAAGTCAAGTGGGAAAACAGATTCAAGACTAAACCTTCGGAAGCCCGCGTCGACTTTTGTTATTGAAGCTGGACGTGTTTCTTCGCGTCCTAATATCCATCGCCGTGTGCACATCGACCCCATTCGCCTTCTGCGCGTGGTGAAAAGTAACAACGCAGACACGGATCAGACCTTTGTGCTGCAGAATAAAATGTTGAAACACACAGGAGATCATCATACATTGCGACATGATTACATATTGCTATGTTCCTATAGCACCGCTCAGTAAGCCAAGGACGTCCTCTAGGAACTCCGCAAGTCAAGTGGATGCGGCGTTGTGAATGCGTCGGAAAAGGTTGCCAAAGCAGGCGGCGGCAAAGCAGAGTATTTCAAGAAACATATTCAGCTTGCAAAGCGGAATTCCTTCTCACGCAAAAAAAACTTGTGGATAAAGCCATTTCCAATGCGCCCAACCTAGCGTCTCATTTATGATGCCGCTCGCCGCGTTACATGCCGCCGCCCGTTGGCCGTGTCTGAAGCGCCTTTGCGGCGTTGATCGCTAAAGGGCGTCGTTGAAGGTCAGTCGCGCGGGTTTTCGGGGCCCGCGGCGTGTGCCTGGGGAGAGGGGGGGGATGGGTTTCGGTGCCTTTGCGGCTTCTCCTGGGGATCGGTCAGGTCTACCGCGCTTGGAGCGCGTCGGCTGTTCATCGAAGGCGCGCTTGGCCGCAGAGCGGCAGCGGATATTTTCGGAAAGGCGGGATGTACACGCCCAAGCAGTATCTGTACGGGAAATGCGTCCGCGGCATGGGCCCGCCGATGGGCAAAACGTTGTTCCACCTTTTGGAACGGACTCCTGGGGCCAAGACGCAGCTTCATTTCAGGGGGACGTAAGACCTGGGTACAGGGGACTCGGAAATCCCCGACGAGGTCGTCAAAAAAATGACGAGGCCGAGCCTGCATTTTGACGAGGCCTCCCGCTGCAGACATCCCACGAAACTCCTCCTCGTCAAAATCCGAGGCGCGGTCGTCAAAAAACGATGGCGAACCCGAGTCCTGGCAAACCCGGGTCTTACGCTCCTCCGATCATTGTTCCGGCAGAAGCGTGAAGATTTCAGTGTCTTCGAAAGGCCCCACAAAGTTCTACACATTATTGTTCGGTCGCCCCCTCCACTGCGACGCTGAAAGGCCAGGGGAGGTCACCGTGAAACATTGGGTGGACAGCATTTCCAGAGCGGCTGACCGCGTTTTCAAGACTGCGCGGGAAGGGAACAATAAGGTGTTGCTTGACTGGTTGGGCCCAACTTTCCGAGATTCCACGCTTTCGCTTGGCGAGTTGGTTTTTCGTTCTGCGAATTGATGGGGGTGACACATTACATCTTCAACGACAGAAAGAAATCCCTGCGGGAGGGGCGAGACCAAGACGGGAGGAGGACCGCCGGCGGCGAGGACACTTATGACGAGTCGAACTCAGACGAGCATGACGAGGCCGAGTGCGACGCGAGCGATTCGGACGATGGCACCGCATCTGCCGGGTCAATGTAATATGCATGCGCTCTTCGCTGCAGATATGTTCTTGGACGGCCTTGGCGTTGCAGACGGCAGTTTCTGATGCCGCTTGTATTTTCTGGGCGTGGAAGTCGAAGGTTGGCGTCTTTCGGCGCGCGGAGAAGAAGAGGGGTCGCGGCAGGGGCGCAGGCAGCGGGGCTGGTGGGGCGTAGGGTATGGTGCTTTTTGGGGCATGGCATTGCGCGCATAGAATAAACGGGCACGTAGGGGGCGTTTTGGGACCGTTTCAGGCGCGGCGCGAAACGCCGCGTAGGGACCGTTTAGGGACCGTTTCAGGCCTGGCACAAAACTTGCCATAAGGACCGTTCAAGGACCGCTTCAATCCAGTAAGTCAGGCGAAAGCGCCGAATGAGGACCAAATGGGGACCGTTTGCAGCGCGGCATCAAAAACACGCTGACCAATTTTCGCATGAAATTAATTTCAGGTTGTAGTTTGCGCAACTCCGACAGGTTTGCCCATCTCGCGGCTAGAATTCAGAACCCTGGGCGCGGGCTGGCGGGGGGGACTTGTGAGGAATTCGCTCGCTCCTGACAGGAACTTTGCAGCACCTTGCAGGAGGTGCACAAAACGCTCGACCGAACGAGAGGGGGGGCGGCTTAGGGCTTAGAGGTAAGGGTTTGGTTAGGGCTTAGGCGTTAGGGTTCAGGGGTTCGGGCTGGGGGGCTTAGGTAGGGCTCAGGGCTGAGGGCTTAGGCATCAGGGGGTCGGGCTTGGGGGGGAGGGGGGGAGGGCTTAGGGCCTAGGGCTTCGGGTTCAGGGGCTAAGGCTTCGGGGGCCAGGGAGGTTTAGGGCTTAGGGCTTAGGGGGTTAATGCATCAGGTTTGAAGGTTTATTAGGCGGTTAGGGCTTAAGTGTTAAGGTTTAGGGCGTAGGGCGTAGGGCTCCGGCATTAGGTCTAGGGTTTAGGGCTGCGGGTTCAGGGTTTTAGGCTGTAGGGCTTTGGGCTTAGGGCTTAGGCCATGGGGCTTAGGCATCAGGGTCTAGGGCCGAGGCCGCAGGGCTTAGGGTTCGGGGACAAGGCTTTGGATTCATAGCTTATCGCTTCGGGCTTAGGGCATCGGGCTGCGGGCCTAGGGCTTAGGGTTCAGCGGTCCAGGGCTTAGGGGTTGGGCTTAGGGCTGAGGGTTCAGGGCTTTGGGCTTCGGGGTCGGGGCATGGGGCTTCGGTATTAGAGAGAGCGTGATTCACCGCCGCTTTACTGTGGAAAATTGCCAACCTTTTCCTCCGGAACCCGGGGGGCGCTCCCCCCCCCCCCCCGAAAATCCCCCCCCTCCCCTAACCCCTCCCCCCCCCCCCCTCCCTCCCCCCCTCCCCTACCCCTCCCCCCCCCTCCCCTCGAAAACCGGGGGGGGCACTACCGTTCGAACCCCCCCCCCCCTCCGGTCCGGAAAACCGGGGGGGGTCACTACCGGTTCGACCCCCCCCCCCTCGAAAACCGAAGGGG